CTGTTAACCAGCCTGTTAACCAGCTAGTTAACCCGTTAGTTAACCCGTTAGTTAACCCACCTGGGCGGTTTAATTCGGTTCCTAGCTGACGCAGCTCCACGTTAACCCGGTCTGGTCCGGGTTATCTGGCTCTGAATGAGCCCTAAACTAACCCGTGATAACAGCAGCTCACCGTGTACCGGGTCAGTGAACTGCCGTCAGTGTCCGGACACGGTGTCGGTGAGATTAACGTTAAAATAAACGTTATTTTTTTTATTAATCTGTGATGTTCAGACTGTGGCCTCCGCTCGGGTTTCTGCTTTAAAATCAGGTTAAAATGAGTTTAAATCACTTTAATTTGGTGTTTTTAACGTTTTTATCTCCTAAAAACAAAACCTGGAGATGTCAGTGAAGCTTGTTGTGTTTTAAATTCAGTTGTTTTAGAGGTTTTACTGGTTTTAATTCTTCCATCTGATGAGAAATTAACCCAAAATATTATAATAAATAAAGTTATTGGACCTAATTCTACATTCAGTGTACAAAAGTTAAACTTAAAGGTGATAAAAGTTGCAAACATGCTTCATTACGACCACATTTTAAACAATTGAAAAGAAAAACCAGGATATCTGCTAGTTTAATGTGATATTTGTGGTTTTATTTACACATTTTACTTCATTAAATGATCATTGTAACGCTACTGTGTCATACATTGTGTTATATTAACATTAATATTCACTTTGAAGGTCCAAGTGGAGCTAATTCTGCCCACCGTGCTTCATAAACGTCACAAGAACAGATTGATAAAGTGACGTATTGGTTCCTAATTAAAGAATTTCTTCCCGTTTTTTGTTTTTTAACAGGAAAGGGAGGAAAGAATCGGCGACGTGGAAAGAACGAGAATGAGTCTGAGAAGAGAGAGCTGGTGTTCAAAGAGGACGGACAGGGTGAGACGGTGAACTGCACGTCTGTCTCTCCGTCCTGGATGTGTCTTTTCAAGGGGAAACTCCTTTTAAAGCCAAATCCAGGACGTAAAATAAACTTCTGTGTGTTTGCATTTGGTCCGAAGAGGTCACTGAAGTCACTCTGGTGTTTCTGTTTGTCTGTAATTTAAGTTTAAATGTTTAATCGACCAGAAGAAAACGAGTTGGCACCGTAATTAATTAATAATCGCCAGTTTTTCTTCCTCTGTGTCCTTTTATTGGGACTATTTGTCGCACAAAATAAGCAATTTAAAGCCGTCAGTTTGTCATAAACTACATAATAATTAATAATTGGTTCACAAAGTAATTCATAAAAAAAAAAGTGAGTTGCAAGCCAACATCCGAGGAGGCGACTGAAACAGTTAAAGGGCCGGTGTGTTGGATTTAGAAGCATCCAGCAGGGTGTAGATGCAGATTACAACCCCCTTGCATCACCCTCCTGTTACAGACATGAAGGGGAAACGATGAAAAAAGCAAAAGGCTGTGGAGATGAGCAGAAAAGTACATTTTTGGGCGTCTAAGAGAACTAAAACAAAGATAACGTATAACATTAAAAAACAGACGGTATCCGTAATAAACAACTAACATGTTAACAGATATAAATTCAGCAGTGGCGGGTTTTTAACGTGCAGATAAAATATATAACGATCTGTGTGTGTGTTTTAGAGGCAGGGTTATGTTGCTTCCAGATGTTTTATCAGAGCTCTCTTCTCTTTCTTTACTGGCCTTTATTGTACAACTACAGTAGAACTTTCCTATTCAGTGATGCTGAGGCCTCGTCTGTTTCCATCCCTCAGCTCGTTTTACACTTTGCCATCGAGTTATATTCCCAGACTCAGAGGGAGTTTAATACAAGGTGTATCTGTAGCTCTGAGCAGTGAAAATGAATCTTAGTGATGTTTAAATTATATTTTGTGTTGTAAAGCAGAGTTTCCCCCAGGTGATACGTCTGTGGAGGTGGTAAGAGCCCATCAGTGCAGTTAAATATGATCGTTTAATATGTCCCCTTGTAGTGTAATATTATATTTAATAACACACACTTGTGACGTGAGCAGAGGCTGCACGTCACCTCTGTTAACCACACACAACACAAACTTATTAACCATATATATTCTGTATTTAATGTCATATCTTTGTTGTCTCGTTGGCCTTTTTAAAGTGTTTGTGTTGTCATGTTGTCTTGGTAGAAGAGAAACGTCTGCAGGCTCTTAAAAAGTCTAAAATCAGAATTCTTAAATATGATTTTGACTGGTTTTAAGAAAATAACACAATTGGTGAGGTTGACATCATATAAAGTTGTATAAAGGGTTGTAACAACTACAAAACAAACAATTTCCCTATATATCCTTCATACTTTTCAGTTCTTTTAACCAGTATAGACACACAATAGGTCTTAAATTGAGTTCATAATGTCTGTAAATGTCTTAAATTGAACCTGTTGAAACCGCAGAAACCCTGTTGGTTAATATCAACGACCTCTGCTCTCCTGTGTCTTCCAGAATACGCTCAGGTGATTAAAATGTTGGGGAACGGACGTCTGGAGGCCATGTGCTTTGATGGAACCAAGCGGCTTTGCCACATCAGAGGAAAGCTCCGGAAAAAGGTAGGAATATCCCGTTTCTTTACCCAGCGGCACACACAGGAAGCCTCCCCCTCCTCCCCTGACGTAATGCTGAATCGGCGTGTTGTCAATGGTCAGCCAGCCACCGTTAATGTGGCAGTATGGACTCAATTGACCGTGTGTGTGTGAGGGTCCAGGCAAGTGCAGTGTGTGTGTGTGTTGGTGTGTGTGTGAGGGTCACAAAGTGCAGTGTGTGTGTGGCTCTCTGTAATCTCTGCTGTGTTTTGTTTTGCTCCAGGTTTGGATTAACACGTCAGACATCATCCTGGTCGGACTGAGAGATTACCAGGTGTGTTTGCTGCTCACGGATGAGACTGTTGACACTGAACTGACCCTCGCTGCGAGGACGCGGCGCAGGCCTTCAGATAAATGAGCTGCAGCGTCTCTGTAGAGTCCAACTTTTACAGACATAGCCGTCTAAAATGTTAAATTAGTTTCAGGATCAACAAAAGCCGATCTCATTATACAGAAAAGAGAACAGGAACAAAACAACATAGTTAGTTTTGTTCTGCTTTTCTGTGGTTTAAATACAAAGGTCATATTGTTCTGGGACTCTTTCTGTTTAGATCTGTACTTTTAAACCAAGTAAAAGGATATTTGGTTTTGTTAACTTTTAAGAAAGCCTTTTCCTGTTCATCCCATATTGATTATTGTCACTAAAAAAGCTCTAAATTATCAATCAGCTGCTTTTACACTGTTTCCAGTTGCTTCTACATCACAATTTAAAATTCTATGAACTCCTGATAAGTTATTAAATCTTTACTAAAGGTCACTGTTCGCTGTACCTGATGTATTTTCTATTAAATGTTAGTGGAAAATACTTTAAATTACCATTATTTTAACTCGATTTATCAGAATTATAATCGGGTTTACGTAAGTTTACACATCCAAGGACTTTGCTTTGGTGCATAAGAAGATAAATAAAGATAGGTCTATAAAGTTGTTCCCTTTTAGGTAAATTCATTAAAACTAGAGCTGCAACCATTAATTGAAATGTCAATTAATTGATCAGTTGTGAAAACAGTTAACTGATTATCAGAATAGTTGATTAATGTAGTAATTGAGTCTGTTTTGAAGGAAAAAAAATCCAAATTCTGTGACTTCAGCATCTGAAATGTGAATATTTTCTGCTTTCTTCAGTCGTCTATGACTGTACATTTGAATTTATTTGTCGAAACAAGACATTTGTGGACGTCCTTTTGCTTTGGGAATCTGTGATAAACATTTTATGACCCAAACGACACATTTATTAATCGATGATGAAAATAGCTCTAATTTGAACATCGTGTCAGTCTCTGCTAAAACCCAGCGCTGCTCAGACACACAGATATAGATGAGTAGGTTCAGTGATGTATCTGGTTCCTCTGGATCACCATATAACTGTACATTTACACAGTTTAGACCCCACTCTCTCTCCGTGTGCTCAGGTTTTAGTACACTTCTCCTCAGCTGACCCCCACGTGTGTCATGTAGTCGTATGTATTTGCCTCACACGTCGACTTCTGTTTCAGGATAACAAAGCCGACGTCATCCTCAAGTATAACGCAGACGAAGCTCGCAGTTTGAAAGCCTACGGAGAGCTGCCAGAGCACGGTGAGTTGAACGTAGTGGATTTATTGGTGGTGCTTGATGTGTAAACTGAGGTTAACTCTGTTTATTCAGCGCAGCTCAACAGAAGAGATAAGAGGAGGGTTTCCTTTTAGTACAAAGCAAACATTAGTGTGTTCATTGTGTGTGAAATTACCAAGCTGCTGTCGTCTTGCATAAAAATAATAATAATAATAATAATAATAATGTTGAAATCTGTGACACATGCAGTTCCTGACTATACTCAGTGTTGTACAAACATGTTTCTCTGATTCTTTCCTTCCTGCAGCCAAAATCAACGAGACAGACACCTTCGGACCTGGAGACGACGACGAGATCCAGTTCGATGACATTGGCGATGATGATGAGGACATTGATGACGTAAGCTCCTTTTAATTTAATAATGAACTTCCCTGTTCACTTCTTTTTTTTAATATATCTTACTTTATATGTCTGATATACATTTATGCTGCTTTTCTTTGTCTCGTATGATTGTAAAGTGAATTTCTTTGTGTGTTTAACTGTTGTTTGGACAGAAAATAGTCATTTAAATGTGTCACTTTGGACACTTCAGATTCATCAATAATAAAATAATCTTCTCCTGACAATATAAAAGCTGAGTAGTGATGTAGAATTTAATGCTGGAAATTAGAATTACAAAATGATGTTTTAACAGTTGAGAACAAAAGTTTAAATAATTGTGTTTCTCTGTTTCCAGATCTAAAGACGTGCTACTGGAGGGGGAAGGTGGGATTTTACTAGAGATGATCCGATTGGGATATTTTGAGCCGATACAACGCACCAATAATGATTATTTTTTATTAAGATCAGCCTATGCCAATCCAATACAGTTTATTGATAACACAGTATGTTTAAGTTTATTCCAGTTTTTGTTAACCATCGGTAGACGTCTTTTGTTATTCTGAGAACTTTTTAAAAGTGCATTTCACTTCGTAGGAGAGAAAAACGACACCAGTACTTTTGAGTTTATTGTTAACACGAATGAACCTGAATGATGCTGCTTTAGTACGACTGTCTCAGTTATCACTCGTAGCAACTGGAGGGGGGCGACGCAGCGGGCTGCCTGGTGACTGACGATGACGCAGACAGTTTGCTTTCTTTGCCTTCATGCAGTTGGATTGGAGAATCAGACTAGGCTGATCACCAGCATCATATTTAGGGTGAATATCTGGACCATAGCCGGATTATTTACCTTGTTTTTCCTGCATCTCATTCAGAGGTTCTCTTTTTATTTTTTATTTTTTTCTTCCCGTATTGTTAAAAAAAACATAGTATTTAGATTCCCGCTGATATACAATGACTGCAAGATATCTCACCATCTTTTTACAATGTATTTATATTGATTTCACACTATGTGGAATTTAGCAACAAGTACAGAATCTCTGGATTCGCTAATAAAAAGATAAACCATTATGTGTTTTTATTTTTTGTTTTTTTCCTTTGGCAGTTGTCACTGTAGCTGTAGCCTGTAAGACAGTTTAAAGGCTGTTTTATTAACGAGAGAAGAAAGATAATAACACTTGAGTATGGCTCTGTATGTTTGTTAACGTCATATATTCCACTGACGACGTATTACGATGAACTATTTGCTTGTTTTGGATTGAACCGTGGCCGAAAGGAAGGAGATCCCCTCTCTCCCCTCGAATCAAAAGAAGAATCAAAATGTATTTTTCTATTGTTTCCCGTATTTGTGTTTCTGTCTGTGTTTTGTTTTTATTTTCTTGTATCCATGTTCTGTTTTGAACTCTTTGGCTGCTCGTTCTGTGGCTTCCACACACACCGTGAAGCTCGGCCCGGTCAGCCGCTCTGCCTCATGCTCGACCAGCGGTTCCCAAACCTTCTCCACCACCAACTCAGACTCCCACGCCAGTAAAACCTCACATCAGTGCAGCCTCAGTCTTTGAACCTCTAGAAAATCTAACAAGTTACATACAGTACTTTATCCCCTCCCCCCCCCCTCTCTGGAAACCCCCCCGTGTTCCCTGAGGGGGCCTAGCTCCTCAGTTTGGGAACCGCTGCTCTAGATCACATGGGGCCTGTTGCTGCTGTTGCTGTAACTCTGAATTAATAAAAAAAAATGTACTATGATGTTTGAAGGCTGGGTTTCCAATAAAGATCTTAACTCCACTGACCTGGCGTGGTGGTTTTTGGGCGCTGCACGCACTCCCTGTGCCGGTCTGAAGGTGGCGAGGTTGAGCTGAAGGTTGGAGGGAGTTCTCTGAGGAAGCGGCCTCGCGACCTTCAGAGCTCCAAGCCAAGAACATCCCGGGCTGCTGGGTGTTGACGGGGCACAGTACGTCTGACCTGATGCTATTTTTAATAGAGGGAAAATAATGCGTCCTTGAGCAAAACATTGAATCC